ATGTCCAAAATTTGCCTCTCAATCTATTTTTAAAAAAAAACGCAAAATTTAACAAGAACCTCAGGGGCCACATTGCTCAGCTGAGCATTTTGACTAGGAAAAAGCAGAAATCAGTTCAGTATTGAAAAGTTTAAATATAAAAGTCATTCGGAGGGGGAGGGAGAGGGATTTGAACAAACTTAAATCTACACATAAAAACAATGCTTTTGAATTACTACGACACATAAAGGCTTTACTGTTTATAAGATGATAACATGAAAATTTTTATTCATATATCCTTTATATTCCTTTTAATAATTACTATACCCTTTAATGGATCCTCTGTTCTCCTGGTTGGTCATGATTTACACAAATTGAAATCTACATTACCTTTTTTGATGCTTTTATATATTTTTGACCTATCATGGCTTTGTTGTTCTTGTGAAGAATTTTAGAGATTTTTGATATTGTTTTCCAATGTAAAACTTTTATTACCCATTTTGGCCCCACTGTACCCCCGTGGGTCATGATCTGAACTAACTTGAATCTACACTACCTAAGGATGCTTCCACATGAATTTCATCTTTCCTGGCCCAGTGGTTCTAGAGAAGAAGATATTTAAAAGATGCCATTAATTTTCACTAATTCATAATTGTCTCCCCTTGGAAGAAGGTGTGGCCCTTCGTTTGAACAGATTGAATCCCCTTCACCCAAGGATACTTTGTGCCAAGTTTGGTTGAAACTGGCTCAGTAGTTCTTGAGAAGAAGATGAAAATGTGCATAGTTTATGACAACGATGACAACAACAACGACAGACAAATTTTGATCAGAAAAGCTCACTTGACCTTTGGCTCAGGTGAGCTACGAAGTAGGTCACCTTGACCTACTTTGAGTCAACATGATATGAGGTCCTATGATGCATCAACTGACAAGATTTGATGATTCTAGTCCTTATAATAAGCAAAATATCAAAGTTTTAACAAAACATAAATTTTGGCCAACTTTCAAGTGACCTTGAGACCACGCCGTTTGCCCTTGGGTAATGCCTCGAACAATTTTTAATCTACAACATATCCTCATCCTTATGTGTATTAGAGTTTAGTGATAATCTGCCCACTGGTTCTTGAGAAGAACATTTTTTTTAGCAACCAGTACTTTTGTTTTTATTTTTCTTATTATGTACCCTTGTTTGAGGGTCACATCCCTAGTTTTAGTATAAATGAGAGCCCTTGGGCCAAGGTTACTCGTGACAAATTTGACAAAAATTGGCCAAGGAGTTTTAGGATATGGCCCATTTTCTAAAAATTTGACGCACACCGCACAAATGGTCATAGCATAACCTCTTTGAGCCTTTGGCTCAGAAGAGCTAAAACGTTATAAGCCTTTATATTCCTGTTTTAAAGCAATTTTTATGCCAATGCAAACTTACTCATCTATGATGTCATAACGACATCTAAATGATGGATAGCTCAGTACCCATGTATGGTTACCTTCCCATACTTTTAATCAAAGACAAAGAAAGAACTAAAATATTCATTATAACAATAAAATAACGAAAGTACTTGCATGACCAGATTAGATAAATAGTCTACATGAGATGTTTTGTTTCCATGGTAACCATTTTGTAATTTGAGGGAAAAAATGAGAGAAAATTCTGAAATTTCATACATTAGTTGCTCATTTCAACAGTCAAATATTAAAGAAATTTTAATTCTTATATTTGTGTAATCTTAAAAGTGCATCATTTACAACACTATATTAAAATGAAATTGCTTTGAAATTCTAAAAAAAGAGAAGAAAAAATCAGCTGTAAAATATAAAGCATACATGTACAGTTTAGTTCGATAAATACTTTTGTAGTTCTAACATATATTTAATTAATATAAACATTTTCAATCCCACCCACCCCCTTCCTGCATCTCATGAAGTTTTTAGTAAAGTTCAACTTACACATTAAAAGTACTGCCATAATTTTATGATGAAGATTCAGGATGTATTCAAATGGGTTTGTATTTACATGCTGATAGCTTTAAAGATAATCTGCATGAACCTCAGAGTTTTCCTGCATCACCATGAACCTAAAATAAATCAATTTGATGGCACAATAATTATCAGGCTCACAAAACACCTAAATCATTCACATGTGCAGACAGACAGCTGTTGAACACACACAATCCTACCATACTCCTTTTATGTCATTCTTGAAATTAATAATGAATTTGCTCCCACTTTATATTGCACTGATTAGTCTCAACATTGTTAAGCCACACATCAGTAATGTAGGTAAAAAGCATGTTTTACTGACAAAAATTGTACATTAAACAAATAGATGCAATACAATCACTAAAATATGAAAAAAAAGCCTTCTCAGTGGTCTTATAATACATAGAATAATTCTACTCATCTTCTTGATAGATTTAATTTGCCAAGCCATTATACAAGGGAGCATACTCCTTATCAACAAGTATGAGGCTCACTTTAGTACATAAATATCACAATTTTTTAATTCAAGTCTGCAAATCAAGGAAACTTGTAATTTCTTCTGCACTTAATACTTTCTTCTCCTACCAATTATAAAAATAATTAGAGGTATGTACCCATACAAATTTGTTATTTTTATGATCATCATGATAAACCTATTGTAGTTCATAATTAAAAAAAACTTGTTCATTATGCATGTAATTCATATTCTCATCTTTTTAAAATATCAATCTGAGACTTTTCTGGAAAGGTGCATCTAAATTTCATTTGCATAATTTTGAACACACACAATCACACTGACATGTCTCATATTGTATACAGAGAATATCGAATCTGATATGTCTTTTGAATTCAATGCTGTTTTATGTTATGGGTAACAGTAAAGAAAGTTCTTGGAAAGGAGATGGGCAAATAAGGTGTAGCTTCAGATATACATGATGACCTAGTATAGGGCTGTCCAAAAAGCACAACAGTACACCAATTATTGTTACTTCTTTGAACTACCTAGATATGACGTCACAATATCATATAACGTCAAATCACTAAAAACATGAGCTGACATGACAGGGAAAATGCTTTAATTTTAAATGAAATATCAAAGAAAATTTTGTTTTGAGCTTTAATTCTTCAACTGCATAATTGTCACACTACAGGCATTTTCCTCACCTTGCTTGTCCATCTTCTTTAGTTTTCTTTCATTTAAGAAAGGGAGACAAATAAACTAAGATGACTTTATTCAAAATATTAACCTCAGATTTGTTTACTCAAAATATTGAAATATTATTAAATACATTAAAGCAGAAGTAAATATAAAATGTACAGGTACATCCTAAATATGTAGAATATTAATATTACCCTGTTCAAACAAATAATTATGTTTGATGAAATATATCATGGTTTTTCTGTTTAATTACTAACCTTATATTACATATAGAGCGTTTCAAAGTACTAAAAGTTAGAAATGTAAATCAACCCATTCTTTAAAATTTTGTGGTAATATTACCTTCAAATTGTAGATATTTTTCAGCTCTCTTTTTCTATCTTCACTTAGAGTTTACTATATGGATGTCTGATGGCATTAAATGTTGATGTAGAATCTAACATGGATCGCAGTGAAGATATCTAAAACAATGATGAAAGAGACAAATATAACTGATTTATATCCATTGTAAAAACAGTATTAATTATACTCATTACCACATCTATTCACCACTTGCGCTCTTTCAAGAAATCCACTTGGTCTTACACCGATAATAAATATGATGTCATCTGAACAATGTAACATCATCTTTCACTATTTTATCAGGAAATTTCAAGCATGATTAAGGGGAAGAAGGACCTTTAGCTGAAAAAATACTTGTCATTCAATTTTTTTCATATTTTGTATATTTCTAATTAAGTATGTCCCACATATCTTAAAGCAGTTATATCATTAGGTTTCTGACCTTAATTTAGAGATATTGATTGACAAATATGATGCCCTACAGTATCTTAGTGGAGTTTTAATTCTCCATGTTTCCGGGCTCATTACTCTGTCCATAATTGGATTTTTAAAGCATATATAAAAAATATGTAAGTGAACATGTATCTTTTAAAATATTTCAGAGTATGAATTGGGTTTAAAATTCGAAAAGGCAAGTTTCATCTATCACACTGCATCTGGATAGGGAAAATTACGAACATTTTAAGACAACTTAAACAACAAAAAACGTAATTTACAAAAAATCTTATCATTCAATATTTTTAAATTTACGTTCAAATGCAAGTCCTTCAAATTATTGATTAACTGTAAAAATTTCGAATGGTGAAGCTTACCTTAATATTGCACAGGACATCGTTAAAGACGACATAAGCAGGACAAACACTTGTCATGTTTACATTTCTCGAGTACGGGAAAAACCAACTATGACGTCACACGTAAGCTAAATAAGCGAAATAAGATATACCTACATAAGATTTCTGTCATCAGCCATGCAAAAATAATTTTTGTGTTCCCCGTTTCTCAAAATACTTCATTCTATACTGATTATGACCTGTTTTTACATAATAATACCGCCCTTGTATTCACCGAGTATGATCTTGCTGTACTAGCTGATCGTGTATGACGTCACCGACTTGTTGGACACGCAGTTTAAAGAAACAGAGGAGTGGATCAATCTTTTTTCATAATTTCTTAATGTTTACAAGAATGTTAAACTTTTTATTTTTTTAATATAAGATGGTAATTAAAGAAAAAAAATTGTCAAAAATTTATACAAGAACTGATGCTTTACACGTTTTGCACTTATATAAATGGAGACTATGACGTAGTTTAACAAAGTCATGTGACCATGTGTCCTTCATCCCCTTAAGTATTCCAAATTGAAATGCTTACATATCATTTATTGAATACGGGAACAAAAACTAATCTTGTAACTAAAGGCCTTGAAATAAAGTATGTATCTCATAATAAATCAACTAAATCCATTTTTCATCAGGTAAGATTAAAGATAATCCTTGTTTAAAAAATGATGTGAAGTCAGAATCAATGTGAACCTTTATTATTCAGTTCTCAAATGAATTTCAATAGCTTCATGATAACTGAAATACAATGACACTTTGTGCACACAGACTTTCAGAGGGTCAGTTACATATACATGATCCAATATTGTTCCACCCTCTGTTGTGTAAAACTGCACCATTTGCATAAATCCCATTGATTCTAAAAACCTCTGTATGGGTCCTTGCAATTTGGCATCTTCATTCATGTCACCTATAATAATCATGTTGCAAAAATGTCTCCTATAAAAATTCACCACTTTTTGTAATGTGTCAAGAAAATTGTTCACAGGTAGTACATTTGGCCGGTAGAGTATAATGATTACAATATCATATTGATGCATTTCTACAGTTATTCCTTCTATATTCTTGCATTCCAAAGGATTGATCAAGATTGTCTCATTTCTTTTCTTCCTGTACACTCCAACCCCACCACCTTTAGCTTTTCTTAGTCCTCTCATCAGGTCTTCACTATCATCATAACACTGGTTTCGTGCAACATGGTGAAAGTCAAAGCCTGAAATTTCAATATCTTGGATGTTCTCCTGTTCCTTCAACCATGTTTCTGTTAAACAAATAAAATCAACTTTCAATAATCTGTTGTCACAATTCATATTCTGAAAGTGTCCTCTCAAACTTTGAACATTGAACAAAAGAATTGTTTTGTAACTTCCATACTTTGTAGCACTGCATGTCAAGTCTTCACCTAAAATGTATCTCTCCATACTAGTAAGTGCTAATTTCACATCTAAATCAGCATAAATTTTTTTCTGCAGGACACTCTCATCATTGGTCTCAATGAATAGACCATCCTTTGAAGTCACGCGACTGATTGCTACATATGCTTGACCAGGAGAGAAAGTCCGATCTAAATTGACAACAACACTCTTGGTAGTCATGCCTTGAACTTTATGTGCTGTGCATGCCCATGAGAGTTTCAGTGGAAATTGATGTCTGACAACACTCTTCATATTTTTCTCATTTATCTCTTCTTCCACTCTTTTAATTGGGACAACATTTCCTTTGGGTGTCTTCTTTCCTTGAATTTTACCAATATTTCCACTATCAAAGATGACTTCAACTATTTCTACTTCTTTTACAGGCTGTTTGCTTTTAAATACAAAATTTGAAATATACCCCATTGCACCATTCACTAGGCCATCCTCAACACTTACATTTCGTGTTAGCATTACTCTTGCATTCACACCTAAAAGTAATGAAACAGAGAGCCCATCACCTCGAGTATTAATCAAAGGTTTGTCACGTAAAGTTAATTTCCCTGTTGTCCTGTCTTTTTGATAATCATCAGCATGTACTTCAATTAAATCTTCACAATTCCCATGCAACATTTTCAGATTGTATTCACTTGCCTCTTGGTTTGTAGAATAAACATGTAGAACATCATCTGGTCCTTCTCTAATGCATTCTTGAAGTGTTGCCAAAGATTCATCTGATATGGGTTCTTCAGATGTTCTAATACGCAATGAATTCAAAACAGTTGCAAATGCTCTATCTTCACGTTGTCGCATTATTTCATCCAACTCTACAATTTTAAAGAAATCTTGCCAGTAATCAATTGGATATGAACCATTTTCTTTATACAACCTCTCATCCTTTCGCTGTTTAACAGGTGGAAGTTGATAAAAATCTCCAACTGCTATCACAGACACACCACCAAATGGTTCTTTACATTTTTTGATTTGGACAAGTCGTTCATGAATGTAAAACAAAAGTCTTTTATATACCATAGAAACCTCATCTATGACCAAAATCTGCAAATGTTCTAATCTGGTTCTTATTCCACTCAAACTTTGTTCCTTCAAGGGTTGATATGGAATTGGTAAAGCTTTTGTTAAAGAAAAAACATGATGAATGGTATGTCCTCCAATATTGAATGCTGCTGTTCCTGTAAAAGCTGTGAGAATCACAGATACTGCATTTGGAGAAGGCAGTGTTTTTTCAAAGAGACGAGATGCTTCATAGTGTATTGTCTTTATCAGATGGCTTTTTCCTGTCCCTGCTCCTCCAGTTATAAAAATGTGCATAGGTTCAACATCTTCTCCAGATATTTTCTTTACACACCACTCATGAACAGCATAAAAAATCTGCCTCTGTTTTTCATTCAAACTGCGCAGTAAGGGAAGCATCTCTTTTCTGGTGTTTTGAGTTTCCCTTAAATGATAAATAATGTCTTCAGAACCACTATTCTCAATTTCGTGTGTGACTTCTGATTCTCTATTCTCCTGTTCCTTTGATTGTAATTTTTCATTCAAACATTCTCTTCGGTTTAATTCTGATTCTGGACATAAACTTGCCCATGCATCCTCTGGTTCACCAAGCATTTCTAATGCATCCTGAGCATTTTCAATATCATCCTCATTTTTTGAGAAGTAATCATGATTACTATCCACTATGCTTTTGACTCTTTCTAAATTTCTGTTTGGTTTCACTTTGACATATCCATTCTCATAAAAAGTCTGGTATAAATCAAATCCAGGTGGTTTCAACTGACTAAGATTCAAGTATGGAAGGAAAAGTTGTAGGTGACACTGATAAAATTTTTCAGGTGCATTGTCACGATTGAATCTTGGATATCGTATAACAGCAGGTTTCCCTCTGCTTCTCTTTTGAATGTAACCCTTTGCATTTTTCAATTCATATACACCTTCTTTTTTGCCCTTGGGAATCTCAGATTTACTAAGCACTCTGTATTCTGAACAGAATTCAGCAAGACACATTTTATGGAAAAGATTTAACTCAGGTCGGTTTTCATACCTTTCCACAATATTTGTCATCCATATACTGTTTTCTTCGTCTTCGTCATCATCATCTGCAATCACATCATTTTCACCAATTTTGACGTCCTGGTTCTTTTTTATTTCTGCTAGAGGCTTACTCAATCGAGTTGGATTTTCTCCCACAGGAATGAAATTGACTTTTCTTGAACTCTCTTTCATCTTAAGATTGCACACCCTATAAACTGCTTCCTGTGCACTCACTTCTCTGTGATTTAGATAAGCTGACCCTACCCTCTTGATGGTATCATGTGCACTCAAATTTCCCTCTGCTGCTTCTATCTGTGTTTGCTTTAATAGCATTCCCATTTCCCTTTCAGATTTTGAAATATATGATATAATATAGACGATGCAGCTGAAAGGGTCCAATACATACTGTATGTCCATATTGGCATCCCAGCTTTTGAGCAGGCATGGATTGTATTGATTTGTCCACATTTCTATTGGATTTCTTTTCAAAATAGTGGTGGTTTTAGAGGCCAATACTCTATGTGCTTTTTCATATAAATCCTGTGATAGCTTTATATTGGTGAATATTTCCTCTGTTGTTCTACATGCATTAGCGTCATTGGTAATTTCATTCCACACAATTAACAAAATCTCCTTTGCCTGCGCACAAGTTAATTCATTACTTGAATCATCCATATTTTGTTCCAATTGTCTTGAAATGAATGTACGCTCAGATGGTGGTCTAGGAAAATTGAACCTACACTCTGTTCCTTTTTTCCTACATGATTTCGAGTGACTTTTGCTGTGCTGTTGCACATCTAATACACTTTGTCGAAGTTCTAGGTCAGTGTCCTCTGACGGTAGAGCACAAGTGATATGCCTATCAATGAAGTGACAAACAGTCTCCTCACTGTCTTCATCTAATTTTGGTGAATTCTCAACCCAGTACAACCAATGCATATGAGGAGAACCCCTCTGCTGAAACTCAACTCTTACAAAGTAATCTACAATATGTCCAATGGGTTTTGCTGGTGACATTATTACATTCTTCTGGAAAATATGGAACCTATGTTCAAACATCCTTGCAACAGTAACAGGATTGCTTCTCAGAATTTCACTTTTCGCAGACCAGTCTAAATCAGAGGGATTTCTATTGTCATTCATTTGTAGCATAATTGAACTCAGTATTTCATTCCACCTGAATTCTGCAGAAGAAAAAGAACAGAACCATGTTGGAATTCCAAGTTGTCGAAGCATAGCAAAAAGATCTTTTTGAGCAGTAGACCAATATGCAGGTGTTCCTCTAATTGGTTGCATAAACCGCATAGCCTCATCAGTTTTGAGCAGTTTTGCAAGTACAATTGGATTTTGTAACATTTCTGTTGTGACTTGTATCCCTCCATCAAGTTTTGATACAGATTTCCGAATTGAAATTTGAGTTTTCTCAATCACCTGGTTCAATTCAGATAAATATTGACAAAAGAAGATGTAATTTGTATCCTTTGCAAATCTATTATCTGCATTCATCAGCCTGTTGTTAAAATATCGAGAAAGTGTTATCCTTACATCTCGACTTTCATTCCATGAATATTTTCCAGATGGATATAAGTAAGGAAATGTCTTTGCTTCATTGCCCTCCTCTTGCAACATTCTTACTGGATTTTGTCCCTCACCTGGAGCTATGTTATACACATCATCGAAGTAGTGATCTAGAACTTCTTGGGCAATATCTACAGGTTGTAAACAAGTATCTGTAGCAACTTTTTGAATTGCAATGTTTTGTTCTTCAATTATTTCTTCATTGTCAAATACTTCTGGCTGGCAGAATAAGGTACTTTGGTCATTACCTTTCTCCCATGTTGTGTTGATTTCAACATTATGATACCACTGATTATTTTCTTTCAGATAATTGAGAGCTATTTTAATGTCATTTGGGTTTACAAACTGATATTCATAATATCCCTTATAGGACAACTTTCGTTTGAGCTTAACTCGTAATAAAAGATTTTCATTTCCATTCAGAGGCAAACTGCTTGTTTTCTTAAGGTTCGATGGCACACATACAACAGGTCCATGTACATTTTCCTGGCCACCTTTTGGAAGCATCATTACTTTCATGAAAGGTATATGAAGAGCAATTAGATGCTGCTCTAAACTATTCAAGTTACTGAGCTCTGGAGGAATATCTTCCAAATACATTTTGTTGAAAGCTGCTTCAGCAGGAACATTTCCACTTAGAATTTTTCTATGGCATGTAAAACAAATCCAAGTACATGATTTCGGACAATTTTGAGAACATGCAGATGTACAACTATGAACATATTTCTTATCCATGCACAAATTTGCAACATGAACTGCCTTAATACTTTTTTCATACATTTCAAGTGTACATCCTTGTACCTGGTTTTCAAACAAAAGGCGATGGCAGCAGCAACATACATATTCTGGTCCATGTCTAACACAATTTTTAAATGATTTCACCACTTCATCAATGTTTTTAAGCATTTCATGCAGTGCTTGTCTTTGTTTTTGTACAGATTCCTTAATCTGTGTCTTTGTTTCTGCACTGGAATGATATTTTACTTTACTAGCTGTTTTAACCTTTTCATGGTGCTGTTTATCTGTTTTATACTTCTGTCTGCTTCTTCGTTTGACTTCCTCCTTATGTGACTGATCTGTTTTATACTTCTGTCTGCTTCTTTGTTTGACTTCCTCCTTATGTGACTGATTTGTTTTATACTTCTGTCTGCTTCTTTGTTTGACTTCCTCCTTATGTGACTGATTTGTTTTATACTTCTGTCTGCTTCTTTGTTTGACTTCCTCCTTATGTGACTGATTTGTTTTATACTTCTGTCTGCTTCTTTGTTTGACTTCCTCCTTATGTGACTGATCTGTTTTATACTTCTGTCTGCTTCTTCGTTTGACTTCCTCCTTATGTGACTGATCTGTTTTATACTTCTGTCTGCTTCTTTGTTTGACTTCCTCCTTATGTGACTGATTTGTTTTATACTTCTGTCTGCTTCTTTGTTTGACTTCTTCTCTGTGTAGCTGGTTTGATTCATACTTTTGTTTACTTTTTTCTTTCACTTTTTCTTTGTGTAGCTGGTTTGTTTTATATCTTTTAACACTTATTTGTTTTAAATTTCCACGATAGTTTTCATTATTTTTGTATCTTTTCTTAGCATCTGCAATGCATTTTGTTTTGAATTCTGGGTCTGTCTTGTACTTCATGTTTTTCTTGTACAATTTATTTTCTTTAGCACTAACATCTGACATCTCAAGTTTGCATCTTTCATTTTGGAATGAAATAGATTCTCGCTGTTGTCTCTTCTGGTTTCTATCTGCAATTTTCCTAGTGTTATGTTTCAAACATAATAGTTTCTGTGATTGAATTGCTGATACATTTTTTCCCAAAGTAACAGATGTGACAACATTGTAATGATTCTGATTCTTATGATCTAAATAAATACCTCCCAGTGAGGCCATGTTTTCTTCTGGATTCACCATCAATCCTGAAAAAGTAACCCATTTGTTCTCTGAGTATGTATGAATTTCAGTTTTCAATAAATGGGACAGTGCAAGAATCTCTAATTCAGTTGCCCATCTTCCATCCATGCACATGCTTGACAAGGAAATGTGGTTCTCTACAGAATTTTCACCTGGCCTTAAGAATGGTGTGAAAAGCAAATCATTTTCCATGAGATGATGACATACTGCTAAACGTATTGTGTGATGAAAGTCTTCCTTTCCTGTTAAACAGAATGAAATTGCTCTAAAGAAACAATTTCCATCTGGATCAACTAGTACAGTGTTCATTGGCACTGTTATTTCTTGTCCATACTCATGCTGATTTTCACATTTATGCATTGAATATGGTATTTTTAAGATTTCACAGTGTGTTTTCTTCTGATCATCAGAAAGTGGTAAAAATCTTATCTGATGCTTCTCACTCCCAACAAATTCTACCTCATCAGCATTTTGTAAACCAGTACTACTAATACTGCATTGAAACTCTCCAGATTTGTTTAGTTCATGCTCTTTATCACTGATTTGTAATTGTTTTTTAATGCCTTCTTCCTTACCCAATGAAAGCTGTCTAACTGAGCATTGCACTCCAGTTATTTCACATTCCACTGCTTTCGAATAACCCATTGACCTAGCTAAAGACAAAATATGATTGCATAAATCTTGTACTGATTCATACAATACTCGTGTACTTCTACCATTTACACTCTGAAATCCTGCAGATGACCTTGAGTGAGAATCAAATGTGAAGAAATTATGTTGATATTTCCCAATCAAAAATGTATTTCCACCAAAACACACAAAACAACCATCACTGTCATCAAGGGCTATTTGAAGTGCATCTAATATCTGATAAGCATTAAAGTCGGTATAATTTAGTACTACACCTGCCAAGTTTATCAGGCTTGGTAAAGACTCATTTGCTTTAAACTCAAACATTCTACCAAAGCATTCAAAAAACTGAGGCAATTCACTTACTAAAAGGTATCTGTTTGCAATTGTTGAACTACACTGTAGATATGAGTACATCTCATCTCCTATTGCCAAAATTTTGTTCATATCTTCATACTGCCATTGCTCACAATTCTTTAATTTATGATATGCCAGTGCTGTTAAAGAATTTGCTACACACTGAGTTCCACTATTTTCACCAAACATTGGATCTCCCTGATGAAATGAACCTTGCACAGACAAATTCAATTTTTTTGAAATTTTACCATCACTTGTTCTACCACTACCAGTAACTTGTGTAGTCACTTTTCTATCACTATTCACATTGTTTTCAATCATACATGCATTCTCATTTTTTTCAACTTCAAATTTCTTCTCTTTTGTGTTATTCATTTTGCTTCTACCAGTACATGTGTCATATCCTTGCACGGGTATCTCTTTACCATTTCTTTCATATCTTTCCGATTTCTCTGTATATTTCTTTGATTTCTTTTCAAATTTCTTTGATTCTTCTATATTTTTCTTAGTTTCCTCTATATTTCCCTTATTTTCCTCATTGTGGCACTCATCTTTTTTTAATGTCCTGCTGACCTCTTTCCCCTTGGAAGGTATCAGCTGCGCCTGACCTGCTGAATCTGACATCATCCAAATGTCCGATTCAGGTACTCTCGGTGGAGTACAAACCCACGCTGGGGAGTCAGGGGATGCTACCTTGTCTTTTGGGACAATCAGACGACTTCCCCGAGGAGATGACAACCTCGGGGCTGAGTGCATTCTCTCACAAGGAGAGGCCTGCACCCTGGCCAAGGGTTTTAGTGTAGTAGGTGGCAACCCTATAGAGCCACACTCTGAGCCAGGAGCAGCTTCATCGACTTCTCTCTGTGGAGCATTAGACTCTGTCACTGGTTTTTCTGATGGAATATCATGGCAGGACTCAAGTTTCCTTTGCCTCTTCCTCTCAACATCCTTCCTGCGCTCTTTTCTACCAGTGAGAGACTTTCTCTTAGGCATCTTTAAAAAAATCAAACCATCAAAATGCAAAACTATCACCCCCAATCTTTCTAGCTTTCTTTGTCACTAATGTCAGTGTATATATATTAATGATACTAATCAAATACAGACTTCCAAATGGTTAATCTCAAAACAGTCTGACTGATTAACCAGTTAATGGAATCATATGCACTTTTTTTGACATACTTTTTCCAGTAACAAAATTTTCTAGATCAGATATATCATACAAGTTCATTCTGCATTGTCACCATAATCATAACTACGTCTAATTGACTTAACATGGCTTTTCTATTCTTCATCAGATTTCTTCATATACATTCCCATGTAAAACTTCGATCGTCCATTGTGGCCCCACCCTACCCCAAGGGGGTCATCATTTGAACAAATCTGAATCTACACTACCTAACGATGCTTCCATATCATAATGACTAATCATGCCTTTGTATTCTTGAGAAGACAATTGTTAAAGATTTTTTGCTATATATTTCCACGTAAAAAATTTATCCCCTATTCTGGCCTCAGAACAAATCTAATTTTAATCTTCCTGAGGATACTTTCATATCAATATAACTAAACATGGCTTTCCTATTCTTGAGAAGAAAAGTTTTCCCTATATATTAGTTATTACTCTGTAAAAATTTAAACCCCTGTTCTGGAACTACCCTACCCCAAGGGGTCATGATTTGAACAAATCTGTATCTTCACTACCTGAGGATGCTTCTACATCACAATGAGTAATCATGGTTTTGCTATTCTTCAGAATAATTTAAATAAAAATTCCTATATAATCCAATGTAAAACTTTGATTCCCCATTGTGACTCCACCCTACCCCCACGGGATCATGATTTAAACAAACTTCAATTTACACTATCCGAAGATGCTTCTATCACAATGACTAATCATGGTTTTGCTATTCTTGAGAAGAAAATTTTTTTAAAGATTTTTTTCACTATATATCCTTATGTAAAATTTTGATCTCATATTGTAGCCCTACCTTACCCCTGGGGTTATGATTTGAACAAATCTGAATCTACTCTACTTAAGGATGCTTCCATATCTAAATGACTAAAGATGGCTTTTCTACTCTTGAGAAGATTTTTCCCTACATTAATTCCTATGTAAAACTTTGATCCCTCATTGTGGCCCCACTCTACCTACAGGGGTCATCATTTGAACAAATCTGAATCTACACTACCTGAGGATGCTTTCATATCAATATGACTAATCACAGCTTTGAGAAGAGGATTTTTAAAGATTTATTCCTATATATATTCCTCTGTAAGACTTTGATTCCCCATTGTGGCCCCACCCTACCTCTAGAAGTCACGATTTGAACAAAATAGAATCTACCCAACATGCGGATGCTTCCACATAAATATGACTCATCATGGCTTTGCTGTTCCTGAGAAGAAGATTTTTAAAGGTTTTTCCTATATATTTCTATGTAAAACTTTGATCCTCCATTGTGGCCCCACCCTACCCCGGGGAGTCATGATTTGAATAAACTTGAATCTACACTACCTGGGGATGCTTCCATATTAATATGACCAATCAGGGCCTTGTTGTTCTTGAGAAGAAGATTTTTAAAGGTTTTCTCTACATATTTCTACGTAAAACTTTGATCCTCTATTGTGGCCCCGCCCCACCCCGGGGGGTCATGATTTGAATAAACTTGAATCTACACTACCTGAGGATGCTTCAATATAAATATGACTCATCATGGCTTTGCTGTTCTTGAGAAGAAGATTTTTAAAGGTTTTCTCTATATATTTCTATGTAAAACTTTGATCCTCCATTGTGGCCCTGCCCACCCCGGGGGGCCATGATTTGAACAAACTTGAATCTACACTACCTGACGATGCTTCAATATAACTATGACTCATCATGGCTTTGCTGTTCTTGAGAAGGAGATTTTTAAAGGTTTTCTCTATATATCTCAATGTAAAACTTTGATCCTCCATTGTGGCCCTGCCCTACCCCCCGGGGTCATGATTTGAACAAACTTGAATTTACATTACCTGATGATGCTTCCATATAAATATGACTCATCATGGCTTTGCTGTTCTTGAGAAGAAGATTTTTCAAGGTTTTTCCTATATATTTCTATGTAAAACTTTGATCCTCCATTGTGGCCCCGCCCTACCCCCAGGGGTCATGATTTGAACAAACTTGAATTTACACTACCTGAGGATGCTTCCATATAATTATGACTCATCCTGGCTTTGCTGTTCTTGAGAAGAATATCTACACAACCTGAGGATGCTTCCACATCAGTTTCATCTTTCCTGGCCCTGTGGTTCTTGATAAGAAGATTTTTAAAAGATGCTATTAATTTTTCACTAATTCTTTATTATCTCCCCTTGAAAGAGGGCATGGCCCTTCATTTAAACAAACTTGAATCCACTTCACTCACGGATACTCTGTGCCAAGTTTGGTTGAAATTGGCCCAGTAATTTTGGAGAAGAAGATGAAATTGTGAAAAGTTTATAACAACAACAACAACGCCAACACCAACGACAACAACGACAGACAACGGACAAATTTTGATCAGAAAAGCTAACTTGAGCCTTTGGCTCAGGTGAGCTAAAAATGAATCCCACCATATGCATGCCTCAACAAAGAGTGTACTAAAATTTCAAGCATCTTCAATGAATAGTTGTTGAGAAAACTGTGATGAAAATTTAATACATATTGTACAGACAAACATACAGATAAACAAGAAGTTGACATCAGATTCAAATAAAAATAAATCCCACCATATGGCATGCCTGAACAGTATTCTAAAATTGCATGCATCTGCAATGACTAGTTGCTGAGAAAACTATGACAAAAATTTGTTATGTATGGTACAAAAATATACACAGATTAACAGGAAGTTGACATCAGATTCATACAAAAATGAATCCCATCATATGGCATGCCGAAACAAAGACTGTGCTAAAATTTTGAGCATCTGTGATGAGTAGTTGCTGAGAAAACTGTGACAAAAACTTGCTATGTATGTTATGGACAGACACCGGATAAACAGCAAGTTAACACCAGATTTGTACAAAAATGAATCCCAATATATGGCATGCCTAAACAAAGAGTTTGCTTAAATTTCAAGCACCAGCAATGAATAGTTGCTGAGAAACTGCGATGAAAAATTTGTTACGGACAATCACGAAGATGGACAGACAGACACACACACACAAGGGTAAAACAATATACCCCTCTCCTTTTTGAGGGGGGTATAACAACCAGGGTAGTTTAACTTATGACTTCTGAAATTTTTAGAGGCAGGGATTTGATATTTACAATTTATATATGTTTTTGAGCTCATGATACTGTACTTTGAAACTGTATGATATTCAGTTAATACACAAACTTATATTTAAAGACCATGAAAATACATCAGGATCAGTTATGTAGACTGACAATTGCAGTAAAGACAGACTGAAAACTCTTTTGAAGGATTGTTGGAAAGGAAACATGTACATGTTTTCATAAAATGATAAAAAAAATTATTTCTAATCATTTCAATTTCATAATTTATTTGATGATTGAGGAACTATATTTTCTTTGATTGTCAGATTCTATCCCAACCTCTTTGCAGCCAAATGCATGAACTAGCAACCTAGTGGTAAATAAATAGATGACTACTCTTACAATTATTTATCTTTAATGAAGCTATAATAAAGCAAGCAACACATTCGTTCCTAAATAGAACACTCTAGTAGTATAAATGAGAGCCCTTCATCCAATGCTACTTTGTAGCAAATTTGATAAAAATTCTTAAAGGGATTCTTGAGATAAGGTCCACATTCAAACTAGAGATACTATAAGTAACCTCAAAAATTAATACCCGAGACACAATTTACTTTTTTAGGTGCACAGTCAAATTGTGTAAATGTGACCTTGAACATGCCAAAAAAATATTTGTTAAAAAAGGCATATTCTCTACATATTAGTAATCATTCAGTGAAATATGGAAGTGCAACATTTCTCAATCAGAAAATTATTACCTGAAACCACAAGTCAGGCAGCATAAGGACAAATTTTTCCAAGGTACAAAGCCAATAGGTTAAACCTACCCACCTAAATTTTTTACAAGCTGATTTACATTGGAATTCCTAACCTGTATTTTAACAACAAAAGTAAGTAGAAGAAACAATAAAATTACTGATAAAACATATTGATGTGTTTCTCTTGCATGGAACTGTTTATTCAATGTGATTCACAAAATGTCTTGTCCATCTGACCTTTAATCTGCATTTCAACACTACTCAAACAGTTCATTTGTCTTGAAGAAAAGTGGTGACATAATCATTTTGTGCCAAAGTAATGAGTAAATTCATTGGATGTTCTATTCAATGGCTGTGATAAATCCATGAAATTAAAATTTCTTTTTGTAACCTGATTCTCATATTTTTCAATCTTCATTTATTTTAAAAACAAAGAAGTAACATTTCGTTTATGGGCAGTTAATACAAACGCAATGAATGATTTTTTTGTCATCTTTTGTAAATATTTGTTTAGCTTCTCTGGTTTGGTACATTTTGTCTTTTAATACACAACATTGTGAAAATTCATCATGACATCAATATATGTCCTTTCTTTTTATACAGCCCCATAGTATGCAGGGGCCTCCCCCACCTTTTTGTGAGAAAAATATTTTCAATTGTATAGTTTAACAAAATGTAAATTGTCATTTTGATGCTGCCCCCCCCCCCCCCCCACGCATTTTTTGTTGCTGTATTATTGACACGGAGCCATTTCAGCATTTAAAGAAATTGGTACGAAGAAGTTAGAATTAGACAAAGCTTTCCCCCTCTTAAAACAGGGTTTTCGACTTTGGACAGATTATTTGGGGGGTGGGGGATGAGGTTACCCCCTCCCCCTTCGAAAAATGTTATTAAGGGCCTGTTATATTAATTTTTTGAAAAAAAATTATTTGTTTTCAAAATTATTATAAATTTAATATTATCCATAAAATATTAATGCATAAAACTACTTGCTA